GGCCCGGGCGGGTCCCGAACCCGCGGACTCAGGCAACCACTCACCTCAGCCTCCCAAAGGCGCGGGATGACAGGCTGAGCCACCGAGCCCGGCTTATTTCAATTAAAAAAAAAAAAAATCTGCCATTTAAGTCAGAAGCTTGGCCGGCGGTTTCGCTCAGATGCCCGTTTCACAGATGAGAACACCGAGGCTCAGAGAGCTTAACCCGCTGGTCCCTGGCCCTTCAAACCCAGCTCTGCTAGACTTCAGAGGCCGGTCTTCTCACCAGGCCTGGAATGACCCCAGATGTGGGTCGTTTCGACTCCTTGCAGGGAACTGAAAGCACCACGCCTGCCCCGACACCCCGGGGTCCCCAGATCTGACCCCAAGGTGGCCCCGGATCTGAGCCGTGAGAACCCGGCTCCCCAGGGGCCCTGCCCGTCCCTTCAGCCCTGTGCGGCCTCCCCTCCCCCCAAGCTTGCCCCTTGGACGGTCCCAGGCCAGCCCGTCAGGTTATTTGGAGCAACTGGGCAACCTGGCTTCATTTGAACCTTGCCTGGGACACAGGCCCTGGCGGGAATCCGCCGGTGAGGTGATCTCCGGGCAACGGTCAGGGTTGCGTCCCGGGGTGGGGGCAGGGAGAGAGGCCACCGGCCCCGGAGGCCAGACGCCATTTCCTGGGCAGCCTGTGTCGCACAGCCCAGGCCTGGGTCGCGCCTCTTCCTTCCTGCAGAATCCCGGGAAGTCCTCCCGAAAGCGGCACCACGAATGCTGATTCCTCCACTTCAGTGATTCATTTTTATTTTTTAAATTTTTCTCCCCCGCCCCCAACTCAGTTATTTATTAAACCCCTTGTTGGCCGGGCGTGGTGGCGCATGCCTGGAACCCCAGTGCTTTGGGAGGCCGAAGCGGGAGGATCTCTTGAGGCCAAGAGTTCGAGACCAGCCTGGGCAGCATAACAAGATCCCACGCTACCAAATAAAAATGAAAACAGACAAACAAAACTTGGGTCTGACCCCGAGTTCAGTGGAACTCAGCCCCAGACCCGGAACGCAGAGAGCCCCCTAAACTGGGGAACAGAAGGCCAGATAGGGGAACCCCGGTGTGGCCAGGACTCAGCCAGAGGGACCGATAAGGGACCTCGGGGAGCCAGAGATAAAGAGATCTGGGAAACGAATGGGGAAAGGCATTCCAGGAAGAGGGAACAGCCTGTGCAAAGCCAGGGAGGCTGGAGGCGTGTTCTGGGAAGCGTGGGCGAACGAGGCCCCAGCCACCATGGAAAGCCGGGGACCTCACTTGGAGGGGGCGGGACGCTTGCCAAGGGGGGTGCGGGGCGTGTGGCAGGCACCCCCCTCACTCTAGCCTCACTGGGACCCGGCTGCTTCCAGCAGCGTCCGGCCCTTCAGGGCTTCGGGCCCCGCACATCGTGTGTCGTTGGTGGAGAACATCTTATCTTTCTGGGGCTCCAGCCAGCGGTAGAGGCCGCTCAGCCTCTGGTCGCAGATCCAGGGGTTGCCGGAGAGGTCAAAGCCGTCGAGCACGTCAGGCGCCAGGGCCACCCAGAGCCCCTCGGGCACGCTGGCCAGCAGGTTGTTGGAGAGGTCCAGCATGGCCAGGTGCCGCAGGCCTCGGAAGGCGCCAGTCGCCACCCGCACCAGCTGGTTGTCGTTCAGGAAGAGGTAGCGCAGGCCAGGCTGGGGCGCCAGCAGGGCCCCGTCCAGCTCCCGCAGTCGGTTCCCCTCCAGGTGCAGCCGTTCCAAGCGCCGCGGGCCCCGCAGGAGGTCGGGCGGCAGGGTCTCCAGCCGGTTGTCCCCGAGGTCCAGGGTGCGCAGGTGCGTGATGTTGGCCAGCAGCCCCGGCGGCAGCTTCCGGAGACGGTTGCCAGACAGGTCCAGATGCCCCAGGGCTTTCAGCCCGTGCAGCCAGGGGGCCTCTAGGACCTCCAGCTCGTTTTCTTTCAACACCAGGGTGTCCAGGGCGGCCGAGGCCCAGAAGAGGCCCCGGGGCAGCCCGGTCAGGGCGTTGCGTGTCAGGTCCAGCACCCTGAGCCGCGGCACGGGCCACAGCAGCTCGGCCGGGAGGCTCTCCAGCCGGTTGCTAGAAAGGTGCAACTCCCGGAGTCTGGAGACGCCCTGGAGGACGTCGGCCGGCAGCCGGGTCAGGTTGAGAAACTCCATGAACAGGAGGACGGTGTCGGCCGGGAGGGCGCTGGGGACGTCGGACGGTGGGAAGCAGGAGACAGAGCTGCCGTTTTCAAACCGGGAC